ATATCCGTCTTTGGCAACTCCACCCAAGGCAATCGAGAGCACTCGCTCTGCAATAAGTATTTACGAACAGAAACATGGCCTATGAGCTTTGGAGAGCGATTACATCATTATAACACCAAACTGTTTTAGAAAGACAAGAGCTAAAACTTACAAGATCCTCTTCGAAGGTATGGATCGAATCATCGTTAACAATGCTGTCATCGTCAAGCTCATCCTCTAAGAACTCCACACGAGAATCTGAAGACGTGGAACCTCACAGTATCATCTTCTCTCAAAACTTACTTGAAGCCTTGAACGAATATTCTTCTTCGCTAGATGATGACTCAGATTCAGAGCAAGAAACATAGTCGTAGTGCTGTTCATCACCATCATCGTACTCCCATGGTTTCGAGTGTTTGCTTCTAGAGGACTTTCCTCTAGACTGCCTAGACGTCACACATATGTTACAAAATACGACCATTACAGGAAATTTAGACAAGAGCAAGCGACCATTATTGAACCTGCACAACTTCCTGCGCAACTATCACGTTTTTGAGTAGATAAGACTTCTGAAACTACTTAAAGTCTTTGAAGCGGTCAAGAGGCGCTTTCTGCAAAAATCAACACCCGATTTAGAGCTGTGCAAATCTTTCAAGGATCATAGACCAAGGTTTTTTCAGCGTACTGGCTATCTGAAGTTACTCGTTGCCAGCTTTGAAGGCTTTTGGTAAAAAACTGATCAATACATTTACGAAATTGCAATCAGTTGCTTTTCACCGGTTTTTGACCGTTATGCTTTGAATCTAGTTTTTGAAAGGTCAAATATGTAGTCCACACAATGCTTCTATATCTCCTCCGAACCTGGAAGCCTCCTGGAACATGACTAGATACCAAAAATGCGCTGTTTTTCCGTATGGCAGAAAAAAATCGCGCCTCTTGACGTACACCCGAAGCTCACGAGATCTAAGTATGATTGAAAAAGGGAACATTTTTGCAAGTCGAAAACGGTGAACCAAGACTGCTTGCACAAATGCCACGTATTAAAGTACCAAGCAAGTAAATAATACACGAAATAATCGGAATGAAAACTTCGACATACCTCGCTTTCGATTCCACCTGAGACTTGTTCGCAGAAGAACTCTTCGTTTTTGATCCTGTCGGTCTACCTCGCTTTTTTGCTTGGCTTTTTCTTGTACTCCTGGGAGGCTCAGGAGTTGCGCTGCGCTCTCGCTGCGATACAGCTTTCCTACGTAAACTGATGCGTAATGAAGGAGCGCGCTCTGCCACAGGAAGAACAGCTCCGGGCATGTTTGGAAGAGGATGCAGTACCTGGTAAAAATCAAGATTAGTACCAAATAACGTAAAATTTGCAACGATAAAAGCCTTGACGAGTTATTGACGCAATTCTCACCAAATGCAGTCATCCTCAGAATAAACCAAAACGAACGCTTCAACTTAGGTTCCGTTAGGTTTTGTGGGATCGTTGACAACGTCTGTTCTCTCCAACTACTCTTTTTAACAACTTTCAATGCAAGAAAATTTTAACTATGGAGCGCTAAATTGACGCTGGAGCGCAGCGATCCCAGGAAAATGATTTGATTTGCAGCACGAATTCCACATGCTGAATGGTCAGTTCTCACAGATGTCCGCCCTACCTTCACTGCTCTGTCGCAGGATCCCCGTTTTGCCGTGGTTTACCCTGTGGATGCGCTGACTTACTCGGTGAGCACATTAGTCGTGGCAGAACTGAGTTAGCATGGCAGAGAATGATGGGAGTTTTCAAAGATGTTCTCAATAATGTTTTTGTTCATAAAAA